CTCAATATGGGGTATTATGGCGATTGAAACTGAGTGTAGAGATGCGAAGTGGAACGACAGTGGAGAAAAAACAGAAAAACCGTCGACAAGGCCGAAATGAAACCCTTCCCACTAGCAGTGAAGGAGGCTGGCTTGGGGAGAGGCACGTCCAAACGAGTTTTCCGGATATGCCAGCCTCTGTGCCATCGATTGATACGGCAATCAACCCAGCTGATTTCACAGGTTAGGTGTGCCATACTAGGCGATTGTGCAGTCGCGAAAGCGACGCAACAGCACTGTGATGATTGTAAAATGGATCCGCGGCAACGCAGTCGCGATTGTCCGTCGCGGTTGCACAGTAGCAGAGTCTGATATGCACCATAAGGACTCACTAAACCGCTAACTTGGTGTGTCGGTTTGTATGTATGTATGTATGTATGTATGTATGTATGTCTGTCTGTCCGTCCGCAAAATGAAGTGAGTGAGAAGGAAGCTCATGGGATAAACAAACCGCTAACAAATCGGGTAGCTTACAGGATTTGAGATATCAATGTTTTGTAGCAGGATAGTTGTGATAACACTCTTAGGGCTATATAAACACCTGCTTAGCACACTTCCGTTCATTCCACATGGTGCTGCAGTGGCAGCTGGAGGGCAGTGGAGGAGAGGAAGGGAAGCGAAAAATCTACCGTCATATCATGATTGTGTCCCTTCTACTGTATGAAACACCATTGTGTTGCATACGCGTCACCTTCCACGGAGGTGTTGGTGTCACAGGTGGAAGGGACCACAGCGGAAGATATCAAGCAGGTCCCGGCGGTTGACGGGGAACCAATCTGGTATGTTGAAAATGATTGGCAGCTCCAATCGTATCATTCCAGATGTCACTACCGTCTCAAGTATTCCCTTAATCTCATTATTGCTTACAATATCAACAAGTGCGGTCGGGCTTCTCTCGATATCCAGGGTTATCGCAATAGCGATACGAATCAATGCTGCCGCTGAATGGATTAAGTTTCGACGTAGAGCCTTTTATTCCATTACTGCTCTTTTCCCAAAATCCTATCCTAGTTATGAGGTCGTGCACAACCCCACTGAACAGCGGACTGACAGACAATTCTAGCGCACCGTTTCTCACCCATATCTTCCCTCCACCCGTCTGGCACAATTTCCTTTTCCAATACATTTATAGGGAGAGGGACGACGCTGTTCTTTGTTCATCACGCAAAACGGACAGGGTGCCGCTAAAATGCAATATGCTTTTAAGCTATACCTTCATGAGCAGAAGCAGGCCCTTGTTCAACCTCACACCATCTTCAGAATATGAAGTCATCCGTCGCCTGGGCAAACTCACGAGGCTTATCGCAATGGCAAGCCATCCAATCGTGAAGCCAGTCAATCGATTCAAGGCTGACCAATTTCTTAGAATCGCAGCACAGTAAGCAAGACGTCTGCCTACCATCGCTTCAGACATTGGCAATGGTCCACGATCCATTGAAGAACGTCGTTGAGCTCGAGTCCTGCACCATGGTCCCGTGGGAGAGCATCCTAGGGTCGCTCACGTAGGAGCATAGGGTCGCCACGTGACGAAGATATTACAGGTATTTTTTGAACATTTCCTAAAGTGCTCTTCAATTTTCACTTGGAAGCATTGAGTATGGCTTCAGCAAGCTGGGGTTGTCACTTATAGATGGGAGGTAGGGAAGGTTTTCTTTGTCTCCCTCCCCCCTGCCCCGTACAGTACCTTTTCTAAGGCATCCTCACTCGAGCGCGAGTAAAATTAAGGGAGTCTCTTCACAACTTCTTACCTGGGGAGTATTTCTGACGGGGCAGAGTTTTTTGGTCCGTATTTCTAAGTCAATTGACAGGGAAGCTCAGTATTACGAGTCTCGTTTCTTCTTAGGACCGCCACCACAACACGTAAGGGTGAAAATGAATATGGGTTGTTAATTGCGCATTAAATCTATTTTCGTGCGCATAAGCAGCCATGAGGGCATTTTTAACCAGTAGAGTAGCTTTGCGTTTGATTACGGTAGCTTGGTCACGCGTCGCACGCTGGCGAACGGATCTAGTGTACCATCGTTGTAAAGGAGCGAGAGAGTGAGATGGGTCACACTAACTTGCTTCCGCGACGCTCCTTCTCTTTTGACGCCAAATCTGGAGGTAGCTCAATTCGGTTCAGTTCCGGTGGTGGACTGTCGTTGTGAAGATTCTGAAACCTCGCAAATGTTTCGCGAGAAGTGCAACAATGAATTAAGGAAAGCGTACCGATCCTGAGATGTAACATTTGCATGTTGTGGGACAGCGCGGCACCAGTGGGCCTGCACACGCTAACACGGAGATCCAATGAAGCAGTCATCTGGATTGTGCCATCAAAGCCAACTCACTCTTCTGGAGCTGGTGTCTGTGGTGGTTTGGGAAGTGCCAGATTGTTGAGAGAACCAGAGTCCGTCGTGGGTAACGAACGTGAATCTGTGCCAACTAGATTCTCCCTGCTATATACTGTAAAAATTTACTCATTCACGTGTTTCGGTGACGCCAGTGCGCCCAGAACAAAGGAACTACGCGTCATCTCTCCCCGCGCCTAACCCATTTGGGAAGTGAACTGCATGTTGGCCATGTTATCGTAGTCACTGGAACTCGTTTTCCAGATTGAACCATCCAATTGTGTTCTGAAACAAAGCTCCTCTCAACCACACCTCATTTGGACCATTTTTGTTGAACATGGAGCATAGTAAAGCTTTGATAAAACGGCAGCGTTCCCCTGGCCACACTTTCCACGCACTGCGAGCCTTAGCCGCTCATGTCGTTGAGGCGAGGGGGGTGGAGGGGGGGGAGAGCGAATTCGAAGTAGGGCCGGAAGTAGGTGACAGGACTAAGCCCAGAGAGGGGAGAAACGCCAGAGAGAACAGAAGCTGCTCACATCCCCTTAGAGTTTGTTTCCCTTCTTCATTCTTACGATTAGTCCAAAGTGGCTCACTCTCTCACTCTCTTGAATGTCCCCTATCCCCCTCCCCCGCCCCCCAACGACATGAGCGCCCAGCCTTGTGTGAACCTCATTTCTCAGAGTACCTAAGTGACCTATTTCTATGAGAGCTGCAGCAGCAAGTAGTGCAGAAAACTTACCCTTGATCACTGCTCTGACTCATCAGTGCAGATCCTTTGGCAGGTTTCCAGTGGCCTCGAAGTGGACGAACGACAACCCCAACGCGAACCTCCGCGTCTTCATCGCAGTACGTGCCGCCGCTCATGAGAAAAACACTATTAACAGTGAAATGAACCTACTCTGTGGTCCTTTTTATAGGGAAGTTTGCTGAGTTGTTTATTGGGATAAACTCCGAGTATTGATGGAAGTAAACAGCAATGAAAGTGAAGTCGGCAGCCTCACCATCCTAGACGTAAGGTGGTTAACGGTTCTTCAGCTGATTAAATTAAGGATTCTTTCAACAGTGAGTACATAGGTGCCCATGAATCCCTCCCTTGTTCTGGTTTACAAGCAGCTTCCTAGGTTTGGCTATTTGCATCCCTTTTCGAGAGGGTATCTTATTGGGGACCTCAGATAAGTCAGGATACATCTGCGCTCATCCATCTTTGAAATTGTGCTGTGATGTGGTGTTTGCCGGAATCTAGACAATAGAATCGCGATCCGGTAAGGGCGGGAAAGGAGGGGGAGAGGGTGTACCGGCTGCAGTGGTCCTGTTTTCGTGGAGGAAAGCTCAAGAACCGTTCCACTCGTACATTCACCTATACACACTTTACGCTCCACTCTCATGCAAAAATTGCTTTGAGCTTTTTTGGTTACTGCAGGCAGCAAGCGCTTTCGCATTACATACTCCCTCCCCCCTTGCATCACTCGAAAGACACCTAGAGTTTCGACGATTAACTGACGACAGCCGTTTCCCCTTTTTTGGCAACCTGGCACAGGCGCGATTTCGCGAGTGCAGCCGCCTCACCTCACACTTGAAAATTTTGGCTGATAACTTTGCAAAAGATTAATGGCACAGATCATCTCAGCAATGTACTTACTATACAATACGTATTGGGGGCTAGTGGTGGAATTCCGTTTGAAAAACCTTTTGATGGTCATGAGAAGCAAATTTTACTTGTTTTGTCTGAATGGAGTGTTTTAAGCTATTGTTCCAGGAAAAACATATATTTCGCTATCCGTGTAGGTTTGCATTAAGGACTACTAATCTTTTTTATTTAC